AAGACGTGGCCACCAAAGCCAAGTTCTTGCGCCAAATGATTATTCTGTTGCAGAACTCGTTCAACAGTATTGTCAAGTGCTCTAAACCGGTCATTACGTCCATTCACGGCGGTTGCGTCGGCGCCGGCCTCGACCTGATCTCCGCCGCCGACATCCGGTACTGTTCTAACGACGCGTTCTTCTCGCTCCGGGAAGTGGCCATTGGAATGGCCGCCGACTTGGGATCACTTCAGCGGTTCCCCAAAATTGTCGGCAACGATAGTCTTGTCCGAGAGATGGCTTTCACGGGCAGGAATATTACCTCCGCTGAAGCCAAAGAGGTTTGTTAATCATAACCAATAGTTTTTGTATTTTTATTTAAATTAAATGAATTTATAATTAATTATATGGTTTTGTTTTCATGGGAACAGTTGGGTCTCGTGAGCTCCGTATTCTCTGAGCCGAAGGAGTCGTTGGACGCGGCCATCGAGACGGCGAAGAAGATCGCCGCCCACTCGCCGGTCGCAGTTCAGGGCACGAAGATATCGTTGAACTATTCCCGAAACCACTCGGATAGGGATGGCCTCGAGTTTATGGCCAACTGGAATATGTGTATGCAACAAAGCCAGGACCTCATCACCGCAGCCACGGCCACCGCCACCAGATCTGAGACACCGCCAATTTTTAATGACTTGTAATTCAATGAGAATTCAGATGCAAAACACTCATTGAATTTGATATTTGTATTTATTTTTGTGTAAAGTTTTTTTAAAAATAATTAATGATTGTCTCGATTATGAATGAATTATTCCTCTCATTGTATGTATTATTATTGAAATATTGATTATTTAATCGAAATTTTTTTAATTTTTTCTTTCTATTTTGTATTAATATTATTAAAATGATTGCAATAATCATATGATTGTAATATTTTTCTGAAGTTAATATTTTGTTATTAAAAATGTTTTGAAAAACATGAAAGTGAAAAATTAAAATGTTGTTAAAATACAATTGAATAAAAAGTATAAAACAACTAAAATGTTGAGAAATTGTTAATAACAATGCATACCATTAGCCAAAAAAAACTTTAATACTGTACTAATACTGTACTAACTTTAAAACTAGCTAAATCAAGTCTACAAACTGGTAGATATAATTTAAATAAAATCCAGTCTAAACCAACTTATTAAATTGTAGATTATTTTAAATTGGTGATCAAAGTCTATGCAAAAACCCTATTATAGCATAAAATACTTATCAAGTGGGAAAATTCAATACATGCATATCCTTGGCAACAATATATCACTGGGAAGTTCCTTCACATCCAAAACATGATAACATTGTCTGTAAAAAACGGGAACTCCATCTCAAATAGTAATGTATAGACTAATTATTGATTTTTACATGTTTTTATTATATGATATGTTTAGGCTATTAATACAATTATCAAATGGAAAATTTAAATTGTTATACAATTAATATAATATATTAATAATGACTGAAATAAATAGTTTTAAAGCAATTACAAGCGAACAGTTAGATAAGAGGTTTGTCGTAAACACTTATGATTACATTCATACACTATATGCACCCAAATAGCACTTTAAGCACACATTTTATGTCAAAAATTATTGATAACTATTTTAATGATATGAATTAAAAGCACTATTTGTGAGCACTTTATAATGTATGCCATTATTTATGCACTTATTTCTGGAGACTTCCCGACGCCAGCGATCGGGAACTCCTGTACTCCATATACTCGGGCAAAGACATGTCAATCGTGTCGTCCGTACAACTGTCCATAAGGCTGTCCACACGACTGTCCTCCACAGTGAACGTCAGATTGTCGTCGTTGTCATCGCTGTCCTCTTCATAGGCCGTCTCATAATCGGATTGGTGTCCACTCGACGACAGATCCAATTCAGCGAAGAGTTCTTCCAATTCTAGATTGCGTTCAACATTATTGAAAGCAATGGATTTCATTGAAAGACATTTGTTCCGCCACTCAGACACCTGTCTCTCGTAGCGCTTCCGTCGACACCGCTCTCGCCGGTGATCAGCGGCCAGTAGTTTGACACTCGACCGCAGCTCTTGATTTTCGGCCAACATTTTATCCAATTGCTGTCTCGTTGTGACCAACTCTTGGGTCATTTCTTGCCATTTTGGTAGCATTTGGTTCATTAGATCTGTTTTGCGATGACATGAGATTTAGTGATAATTGTCATTAGATTTGTACCGACTTTGTTCCTGTGAATCCAGAATGAGACCATTGCCGGAGCGACACATGTCGTCAAACTGAGCCGCAAGTGATAGTTTAGTGGAGTGACCACTGAAGCCACCCGTAATTGGTTTTGGCCCGGTTTTGGCCGAAGAACTCTTCATTTCTATTCAAATAGATTCCAAATATTGTGATTTTAAAATTCAATTTAAATAACATTGCATTGAAAATGTATTTCAAATACCAAATGCAATATAGGATTTCATGTTTTAATACTTTGTAGTAATATTTTTTTGCACACGATATAACTAATTAAATATTTAATAGACTAACACTAATGTAATACTAATTAATTGCATGCATGTGTGAATAGTGTACTCTAGGTCAATTTTGGTGTTATGACTCATAGGGTATGATGCATCTAGGTTATTTTATACATGTTTTGTATGTAAAATATAGCTCACCATGATGAATGTTTGAATAAAACAATTAGACATTTCTCAATCATACAAAACACAGAATCGATTCATTGATTGACGAGTTATCGGATTTATTGGACACCAAATTCAAGGCCAATGGAAGCGCTGGAAACGGCGACGAAACCAGTCTTAAGACAAATAATAAGATGATTGACAGCATAGACATCAATACATTGCAGTCATCGTTGGAGACAATCGCCGAAATGCTTGAACGCGAAGATTGCGACCACTATTTTGAGTCACTCTTTCCGTTGATATTGAAAT